GACAAGAGATGTGTTAATGGAGGCCTAGTTAAAAGCACCTGCATTAGCCAGGCATGGTAGAGCGCCTGTAGTTCCAGCTACTTGGAAGGCTGAGGCAGAAGGATCGCCGGAGCCCAGCAGGTCTAGGCTGCGGTGGCCGGGAGCGGCCACTGCACTCCAGTCTGGGTGACAGAGTGAGACTCCAACTCAAAAAAATAAAAATAAAAATAAAAATAAATAAAGCCACCTGCTTTCTAATCTTCAGGGACAGAGAATGAGCAGGCCCTGCCCTCAAATACATCTGTGCAAGTGTTTTCATGTCATTTTTGGGTAAACACGATATTATTTGAGCCACTATCTTTGAAACCTGAAATAAACATCATTTAAAAAAAACCTAAAATGACAGGCTCAGCAATGACAAAAATCTAAAAATAATATATTTTGATAAAATTTTTGTTACACAAATAAATTACTCAAAAGACAAAATAAAGCCAGCTACATTACTGTTGAAATGAGCTAAAATATATTTTTTAATGTTAAGTTCTAATTTTAAATATGATTTTACACTTGGGATAAATATGTAATTTTAGTAATATATACTCATTTAAAATATGAAAGGCTTATGTAGACCACAGAATCGGACATTAATTTAGAATGACTATAAAGTTGTAATCTGTGATTTTCTGTATTCAGTAATTTGTTCCCTCATTCAAAACAATCCACTTTTTAAAAAAGTTTAATATTGTAGACATTTGTAATAGCATGTCTAAATTTTTCTGCCAATCAGGAAAATATCTTTCCAGTTAACACTTTATATAAAATCAATTTGAAGCTGTTTCCATATACCAAGTGAGTGAAAAAAAAGTTTTAGGTGATATTTACTCCACTGTAATTCCCATTCCTGGTTTCACATAGTCCTCCTGCCCATTTAGAAAGGCTCCCAAGATCTCTTCTCTAAAAATAGAAAACTGAATAATGAAGATCAATTAGCTTTATGTTTCTTTTGAAACAGAGAGGAAGTATGATTTGATAAAACCAAGACTCATAAGTTTCAAAGATTCTGTTTTCATGAACCCTAATAACTCAGTATATATGCTCAATTACAACTAAGGAACTTCTCTATTTTGCCTAAATCATAGCTTCCTAAAATTCCTAATTCACTTCTTTGAAGCCTTAGGTCAAAGAGACTAATTTAGAAGAGTAAATCTGTTGGACAAAATAATCTGAAGAAAAAAAAAGAAACAGCTAATGCTTGATTTAGCAAATTAACCTATTGAAATTTCTGGCTCCTAGAAAGTTATTAAAAAACAAGGAATAATAATCATCACTTTGCATAGGCCAAAGCTGCTTTCTATATATGCACAGGAATGGTGGGGGCAGTTTTATATGAGAAATCAAAGCTATTTTTTCCCCCAGAGAGAAGAGACTTGACCATGATAAACTTTCTTCCCATTAGCCAGCGCATGCCAACATATTCCCAAACAGCAGTTACAAATTAAATCATGAGTCCTATTTCTGATAATGATGGAAGGTGAAAAAGACCAAATAAATATCCTTCCACTGAGGATAAAAGTTCAGCCAGATGCCTACTGCCACCAACTGTTACTGCGCCCACGGAGGAGCCCAGGTCTGGCTGAGCCAGGAGAGGCACTGAGGACACATGTGGGAGGGCCCTGCAGTAAGTACCAACAGTCCCATCACCATAAAGGTCTCCCATTGTTTAAGTCTCTTCCCACTTTTCATCCAGCTGAGGTTGATAGTTTCACCCCAATTCCTCCTTGCTTTTCCAAACCTCTTAAGTATTTTTGCAGCTGAAGTGCCAGTGAAGCCTTGAAGGCAGGAGCTGGTAAAGGCCAAGTCAGCTTATTCCTTCCCCCTATCTCCCCACCCCCACATGCCACTGCTTTGCTTCCATCACCAGTTCTCTAGAAGAAAAAAAAATCCTAGGACTAATAATCTACCTGGCTCCATACTTAGAAAGATAGAGAGACTTGGAAAAGGTCTTCCCCCTTGCCCTTTACGGCTTCTGTACACATCAACCAGACCTATTAATTTACAAGCAGAGATGGAAAAAGACAGTAATAATATTAAAAGGCAACAGAAGCATTCAGGGGCAAAGAAAGTCATTCATTTTGGTATCTTTAAAATGGTAGTCTTCAAAAAGATTAAAAAGTGGGCCAGGTGCAGTGGCTCATGCCTATAATCCCAGCACTTTGGGAGCCCGAGGTGAGAGGATTGTCTGAGCCTACGAGTTCAGACCAACCTGGGCAACTTGGCGAGACCTCACCTCTACAATAAATCAAAAAATTAGCTGGGCATGGTGGCGTGTGCCTGTAGTTCCAGCTACTTGGAAGGCTGAAACAGAAGAATCACCTGAGCTCTCCAGGTCAAGGCTGCAGTGTCCATGAGCATGCCACTGCACTCCAGCTTGGGTGACAGAGTGAGACTCCAACTCAAAAAAAAAAAAAAAAAGATTAAAAAGAGGTAGGTTGGGAGAGGAAGAGAATTTCTGATCTTCTATCTGCAGGAAGACACTGGTATATAAACGTAGGGGCTTTTTAATCTTAATCTCAAGCATGAAAATACTATGGTTAGCCGGGCTCAGTGGCTCAACCTGTAATCCCACACTTTGGGAGGCTAAGGTGAATGAATTGCCTGAGCCCACAGGTTCAAGACCCGCCTGGGCAACTTGGTGAGACCTCATCTCCACAATAAATCAAAAATTAGCCAGGCGTGGTAGCGCGCGCCTTAATTCCAGCTACTTGGAAGGCTGAGGCAGAAGGATCACCGGAGCCCAGCAGGTCAAGGCTGCGGTGGCCAGGAGTGTGTCACTGCACTCCAGTCTGGATGACAGAGTGAGACTCCAACTCAAAAAAAAAAAAAAAAAAAAAAAGAAAAAGAAAATACTATGGTTATAAGAGGCAGAAATGAAGCCCACACAAAAAAATTTAGCTGGGCATGGTGGCATAGCTAAAAAAGGTAGGCCCGTCTTGGGTCACTGGCAGTTTGCTGATGGCAGTGGGGGGACTGGGGGCATCTGTCACCTCACTTTCCCTAGGCACTACTATCCCCTTTCCCCAAGTGGGCCTCCCCGACAAGTGTACACTGCCAATCTTGCTGTAATCAACTGCACGGTTTGCCTGTTGTTTCCCCAAGGTAGCTGGCTGACCTACTGTCCCTAGTTGCCTCTCCCCACCCACTGTGTCTGCATTGTTCTCTGTCCCGGGTCTACTTCTGTCTGGGAGCTGTCCTCCTCCTCCTGGTTTCCTTCTCTCTGGGCCTCTGTGTTTTCTCTGTGCATCACTGACCTACCTTCTTCCCACTGCCATTCCTTCCCACATTCTTCCCTTGCAACAGGCAAGCTTATCTCTCCATCTTGCAGGGCTGAGTTTCTCTGCAGTCTGCCTCTGTCCCTCTGCCGGCTTATCTGGCTTCCCCCATATGGGTCCCCACTCCAGGCTGGTGCTGGTCTCGTCACTACAGGTGCACCTGTCTGGGTAGCTATTGGCATATGCAGATCTGTATTTCTTGGCTCTCTGTGCATCCCTGTTGCTGGGTGTATACTATCCTCTCAGCCATATTTTATCCCTAGGATTTCATTGTAGGTGGAAGGTATCTTTCTCCTGTGCACCCCAGTCCTCCCTGATGCCCCCTCTCTGTACTACACCAAGTCCAAGTGTTTTTCACCATATGCTTCTCTGGTAGGTAACACAAGTGTCCTAGCGTATACACCTAGGAGTACACGCAACTTTGAGTGCCTTTCTGAGAATACACTCACTTCTGAGTCTCTGAGTCTCATGAGCCTCCTCACCGTTTACACATACCCTAGCATATAAGTCACACTACCCAAAGTGTGCACACTTACGTGGGGGCCTCTCTGAACACACTACCAGTGAAAGAGGGTTTGCACCTCCCCCGCGGCTCTGCCTAGGGCTGTCTTCCCTTTATGCATTTAAAGTGCCTGGCACTAGTGGGAGCTCAACAGATGTTAATTCTTTTCTCCACTTTTATCTGAATAACTATGTGAGTTTGTGTCTGGCTGTCCCTCTGTGCCTGTCTTATGAGACCAGTTGGACTCGGTAGGGACTGGGCTATATGTCAGTACCCTATGGGTTCGCTCACCCTCTTATTCTTGGAGTGAAGCGTTACTGGTTCCCCCATATGGTATATGCCCCCCTTCATGCTGTGTGTCCTCTCTGGCTTCCCTCATCCACACAGTGCCGCCTGTCCATAAACGCTTTCCCCATGCCTCTCTCACCCACATTTTGTCGACAAGAAAGCGTCCTTGGATTTGTACTCCAACCGCGGTGTATGTGCGTATATCTGTGCCGCTCTGTCCTGGAGGTGTGTGTGTCCGTGGGATTCTCTCCGGAATGCAGGGTCTCTACTCGGGATGCACTCTATCCTTCTCCCCCAACCTTCAAGCTCGCTCCCTGTCTACACGTCCGTGAGTTAACCCGAGACGCCCGCGTCTTTCGGGTGCGCTGAGCGTCCCCTGTACCCGATGTCTTGTTCCCGAGTGAGCGCTGGCTATGAGTCCTCGGGTCTCTCCCTGGGACGCTGTATTGGTTTGTATCCACCCCGGTGCGGTGCGTCTCCGGGACACAAAGCTCCTGTGTCCCCGAGTCCCTGAAAATGCAGGTGTGTTCCCCTCACCCCGCACGCGAAGCGCCTGTGTCCCGGTCTAAACGAGTACACGGCGAGCGCCGACCCCCATAAGCGAACCGCCTATGTCCCCCTCCCTATCAAGTATATCGCGGACCCCCCCATACGAAGAGTGCCTGAGTCCCCATCCTACAAATAAACCGTGTAACCCCTACAGATGCGGAGTGCATGAGTCCCCGACCCTACGAGTACCCCGTGAGTCTCCGCCATACGCGGAGCGCCCGAGTCCCCATCCCTGCGAGTACACCCTGAGTCTCCGACATATGTGGAGCTCCGTACCCCAAGCCCTTAACCGGTAAGCTGTACGCGCCCCTCTCCCCGCCGGGGACAGCGCGATCATCTCATGGTCCCTTCACTTCTTCTCCCGGGGCCTCTCTCCCTCACTGGCATCCAACAAGCCAGGAAATCCGCGGGCGCCGTCGGAAAGTCCCGCAGCGGCGGCGCGGC